TTGGTTCTTGTCTGGTGTGGTAGATCTGAGCCTCTATTGCTCTGGTGTTTAGGGCCTGTTCCTGGGCGGCCAGGATGAGGACGTTTATGTTTATATATATATATATTAGTATTATTAATGTTTCTGGTACTTCACCGACTCCCAAGGTGCCTGCTAAGGTCTACTAAAAGTTGTTTCCTAGAACTTCACGTGTTCCTGAAATATGCTTGACTGTCACATTGGTCGTATATGACATCTGATGAATAATTTTTCACTTTTGTAATGTCATCACCCCAAAAACGCAAAGGAGTTGTCACCTTCTGTGTGATTTAAAAACCTATTGTATTTCTATAACGTCCTGCAGTTTAAATGAATACTTTATTACTTGACTGCAGTCATATTGTTAGTGTACAAGGTATTAAAAACAAAGAGAAAATCACCACTGGATGGTAGCTTTAAAAGACGCCGGATTCTGTTAATTGAGCCTGTAAGACAGTACCGTGGGAGAAAAAACTCCTCCTCGCTCTTTGGTTCCCCACCTCCTTCTTGTTTCACCTCAGTTACTTTTTTGAAGTTCAGACTCACTCAGCAGGAATGTGCTGAAGTGTAACTGTCACACAGTGAAGAAGAAACAGCTTTTATTTTTATTCATAAAATGCTTTTCGTTGCAGAAATTCGGTACTTTCGTGGGGTTATTTTCCTGAGTTAGACCGCGTCTCCTCGTCGGAGTTTGAAAATAAATAGATAACACTTGTAGACTGAAGACCATCACCATGCCCGACCTGTCGAAGATGAAGAAGCCCGACGTGAAGCTTGTTTTCCTGGGCGACATGAACGTGGGGAAGACGTCGCTGCTCCACAGATACATGGAGAGGAAGTTCAAAGACACCATTAGCACCGTCGGAGGGGCTTTTTTCCTCAAACAGTGGGGACCGTACAACATATCAATCTGGGACACAGCCGGTAATACATCCGCTTGTTTTTTTTGTTGTTGTTTTTTTGACGTGGCTAGTTTGTGTGTGCTTCATTATCAATGCTTACCTGAGGAAACATGCTGTCGCCACCCGAGGCAATCAGCAGCATGTGACCGCTCAGTGATCACAGCCAGGCGGCCTGCTTCATGGGAACGGTGGCCTGGAAGCTTTCCCCGTGGCTGTTAGGAACAACCAGAGCTGCTCATGCAAAGCCTTGCACAATCCAATCTTTTCAGGTCAGACAGGAGGAAAACAATCCGATAATCCAACACAATGAGGTCCAGCCAGCCAGATACCAGCTTTCTCACACACACACACACAAGAATAAAGATTAGGTTTTATTGCATGTTTGAGTAGATAGATGGGCTTTTCTAACTATCAAAGTTGCACCGTGATAGATTCTCAAGCTGTAACTTTAAGAAAATATCATTTTAAATCATTACAATATTTACTTTTAACACTTTATCTGTTATTTTAAACATCCCCAACTATTTCTACCCCAAACTGCACTGCCATATAAACGCTTTATTAGATTCCACACCATTTCTGTCCATGTTTTTCAACCGAAAACCTTTCCAAATAGCCACATTTTACAGGGAAAGTGTAATATCCGTATTTTACCCACATGACAAGTATTGTGCACAACAGGTGGGGGAAAGAGTGGTGCTGTTACCAGAGAAACTTTGGATCATTTATGCACTTTCTCTGGTAAAGACTTTAAAACATAGATGTGGTGTGACAAAACGTTTTATCGGTTCTGAGAGTTTGATGTGCCAGTAAGTGTCTGAACTAATTCAGTTTGAGTTTGTAGTAAAGGTGTTTTCCAGACCATCACTTAACACAAAATTCAAGTTTAGGTTGTCTGTTGCGTTAAAAAAAAAAAGAGTTTACAGTCATTCGTACTCTCTCAGATATGCTGATATAAATAGTTTAGTTTTTATCATTACTCGAGACTTTTTTTTTTAGTTTCTGCTTTGTCACAACTTCGTCTTTTGGTTTGATACTTGGAGTCAAAAGTTACTGATAAATGTTTTATTTTGGTGAACTCTTTACATCCTGCTTCATCCAAAGTCAAATATGTGTTATCATGATGTAGCACAATTGTTTCTCTTCTTTTTTTATTTGTTGCTTTTTTTTTTTTGGTCAGAATGCTAATCAGTCATACTACTCGTGAAGTAATTTCAGTCCTTCCTGCTTGATGTGTACTAGAATCACTGTTTTGCCCGTCATGTGCCGTGTTGCTCAATGTTGTAGTAATGTGACCCAGTCAAAGCATTTTCCATCACTGTGTGGGTTCGCATCTGTTCACATACTCCCCCATCTGCTTTTAATTCAACAATTGTTGGTGCCTTTTGAAGGAGAGCCTTCAGAAATTGATGACCTCTATCTGCTTTTAATGCATGAAAAATCTGAACACTTTTCAGTTGCTCTAAGATGTTTTATCAGTTTGGGTATGATCAAAGCCAAGCTTGATTTCATCAGTGGTTTGATTGAAAACCAAACCAGTCTGTCAGTCTGCTTCCGGACTGACGGATTTCATTGAAATCTGGTTATGATGTGTTGTGTTTTGACTCTACAGCTCCGGTGGTAGAGTGCAACCATATGTGGTCTCTGATAGTTGGTTTATTTTCAGATAACATTTTGTGGAAGGTCGGACAAAAACATTCGGAAATACAGAGTTCACATTGTTAGCAAAGCATCACTGATCTTATGTTTGCTATTTCACCGTCACAGTCAGCTGAGCATCATATCTTGGCAGACAATAAAGAAAAGTAGGGCTGCACCGATAAATCAGCCTCGATTTCCTTAATTTTTTTAATTTTATTTGTGATAGTAGATCAGCTGATACTTGCATGTGAAACTGTTTTTATCTACCGTCGCAAAGGTGTGAAAATCAACCAAGCTTCTGTTAAACACCTGCATGACTTTCCTTTACAGTAAGAAAGTGTGAGGGTTGATGAAGACTACGACCTGCTCTTCAACTACTGTAGATCTTTATCTAGGACCTAAAACACTTGTGATTTATGAAGAGACCATGCCGGCTTTTTCTTTCTTTTTTTAAGGTTTTATCGGCTTTTATTCACCTTGTCCTCTTGCCTTGACCTGGATATTGCTTCTTCATGATAATCTCAGAATGGCATTCCAGTGTTGTGTAAATATGATTAATAGAAAACCATTCTAGCTTCAGTTGAGCTAGTGAGCCACAGAGATAAGGGACAAACTGGCCTTGTCACCATTGAGCCATTTCCTGCCTGTGTCCCTTCAGTCTGTGACCTCTGTGGTCCCACGCTGCGTCTGTCCACACAACATGGCCGGGAAATGCCAGATCAGCGCTATTGAATCACCGTTTAGTAAAGCTATTGTTGCATATCCATCAGCACCGACCACAGAGCTGTGGAAGCAGAAGCAGCAGACGGAGGGGTCATGGTAGTTTTTGGACGGCCATCAGTCACATTGCACCCAGCGACATTTACCCCTGTTTTTTTTTGCAGTTCAAGTGTGATGTTCAGGCCTGGCTTTTAAAAAGAAACTCGACCCAGTTCCTCTTCAGTCACATGATGAGTCGTGGCTCTCCCTGCTCCATCCTGTCTTTTCCAAAGTTTCACACACACAGCAGTATTTCCACAAATACGACACACTTCTCTTGGTCATAAAGCTGACAGTTTAAAAAAAAATCCCATATGTGTTATGTTGAATTTGTAGGTAGAAAATTGGCTTCATTTCAGATTTTAGTGAATGTGGTGTCACTGGCACAATTTCACCTCTGTCCAGATGAAATATTGACTGGTTAGCAGTATCAAGGTAAACCAAGGCCACTAACATTTACCATCGTAAACTTTCCATGATGCCAGAGCAACATGGTTTTTTTCCCTTGTTTTTTGGGGGGTCAAGTATGATGCATAGTTTCTAACTTGTTTGTTTATTTGCTTGGATTTCAGTTCAAATGAAGCCAAACTAAGAAACGATCCATCTTTATTCAACTGCAGTGGACACACGACTATTTGGAGTTCAGTATTTGTACATTTTTTTGGTGAAACAGAACTCCAAATTGTTTCTGGAAACTCCCTTCTCTTTAGATAGTTTTTGTAAGGCATATCTATGATACTGGACAGGAAATCCTGCTTGGCAAGCTGAAATACCTAGATGCTTCACTTCTTTTTGGCTGGTCTTTATTCATGAGCACCATTTATTTTCCTTACTGCTGATTGACTGTAACGCCAAGAGCGAAAATAAGGAAAACTGCAGCTATTAGCTTTTGCTACTGTGCTAAGACTGTTTCCACTGTGTGCATTAATTCATAATAAGGTATATTTGGTGTTTGAACTATTAAAATTGGCAGTTATAAGGATATCTTAAGTATTTGCTGATTTTAGCTATTCGCAGGCGGCTGAGGTTCTCTAAGTCCTGCAAATACCGGGGCTTCACTGTACAGGGTTATTTTTGTCCAAAAATATGTGACTGATCACTACTCTATTGTTTAAACCCCATTTGTTGTAGCTGGGCATATTGAATTACGAAACAACTAAATGAAACATTCCCAGAGAAATGTGTTCGTACACACAATGTTCCCCTTCACGTCCCGACTAAAAAGCTTTTTTTTGGTTTTAAGCTGCTGACTGTTTTGCATAAAACACTCTTTGTCTTTCCACTACACTGCTTGTAAAAAAACAACAACAAAAAAATGGTCCTTATTTGACTCAAATTTTCTGGCTTTATCCCTTACTTTGCTGTTATAGGTTTGAGGGGTTAACATTAAAAGAAAGCTAGATTTCTGCTGAAGCAGCTCAAGCGTCTTCTGTTTGAAAGGCCTTCGGTCAATCCCTTTTTCTTCTCTTGCTAAGATTCTTCAGTTTCCCTCAGGAAAAAAGACAAATTGCTAGGTCTGCGTGGCCTGACAAAGACTTCACAGCTTTTTCTTCAAATAAAGTGCTGCAGATGGTTTTTCCAGGACTGTTTACACCAAACAAATTGATCCACATTGAGGAACAAGGACTCGATTGTCTAGCAAAATACGCTACTTAAAGTTAAACCTGTTTGCAGTATTATATCCAAACTAATCCAACAGTTGTTCAAAATGCCTTAATATTCTTGGATATTTCAATTTTGACTGCTAACGAAAGTCTATGAACACTTTGTAGTAGGATTGGTTTTCAGTGCTAGTTGGGTCGATGAATGGAGCTAAATACAGGACAATACTAGAAGAAAACCTGATGGAAACCTCAAAAAACTCGCTACACTTGAATGGGATGTTTTCTATGACAGGATATATTCATATTAAAATGGTCCAGCCAAAGTCCAAACCTAAATGTGATTGAGAATCGGTAACTGGATTTCCGATTCTCTGTTCAGATGCTCTTGATCCAGTCTGACTGAGGTAACGTTGGTAAAAGCGGTAACTTTTCCCGTCTTTCCAGGTCGGGAGCAGTTCCACGGTCTGGGCTCCATGTACTGCCGAGGAGCAGCCGCCATCATCCTGACCTACGACGTCACTAACTGGCAGAGCCTCGTTGAGCTGGAGGAGCGCTTCCTGTCTCTCACCGATACCGCCAACCACGACTGCATCTTCGCCTTGGTGGGAAACAAGGCCGACCTGACTGACTCCAAAGCCCACCTTTGCCAGGACTCGGACGGACTCCCCGAGGACCGAACCGAGTGCGAGGAGGGGAGGACAGAAACACACGTGTTGTCCGCCTCTCCCACCCCTCCCGCGTCCCCCACTTCCCTCTCCAATATGCTGCTTCACAAGCAGGTGGCGCGGGAGGACGCGGTGGCCCTTTACGGGAGAATACTGCGATACAAAGGCCTGGACGAGAAAAGCAGCCTCCCGGCAGACAAGATGTGCTTCGAGACGAGCGCCAAGACCGGGTACAACGTGGACGTCCTGTTTGAGACGCTGTTCGATCTGGCGGTGCCCGCCATCCTGAGGAAGAGACAAGAGAACCAGGCGTCTCCGACCGTCGATCTGGAGGACTGGAGGCAGGTCAGCGGGAAGCGGGGCAAATCCAACTGCTGTTAGAGATCTGAAGCACCAACGAGGCTCCCAGCTGCAGACTCGTTTTTAATCAGTCGCCGTGTTTGACTGAGCATTAAATCCACACTGTGACGGTACTGTTTTGCGTTTGCCTTGACTGTGACTCGATAGCAAACACATTTCCCAATGATGTGAAGATGTATGTGAGTGTAGATTCAGTTTGGGCAGAGACATTTTAATAGGAAGGGAAATAGACTTCCTAGTTTAATAACTCAAACTATGGTTTAATATTCCAAAGATGTGCCTGTGGCCCAAAAAAAAAACACATTAAGAAAAGAAAGTAAATTACTGCTGTAAATGTTTTACTACGTACTGCCACTAAATGAACTGCACTAATCATTCATTTCATTTATTATACAATCTTGATCACATTTCACTTTAACCATTTTAAACATTTTTTTATAAATATTGATGTTTGTCTTTATATTTGAATGATGAAAATATAAGTGTTTAATTTTTTAAAATATAATTTTATATAAAATGTAATAAAAAATTTATTTTCAGGTTTGTCTTCATTCTTGGATATGTAACTTCATCAGAAGAATGAAAATATTGAATCAAATGACATTGTATTCATGTGAATTTGACCTTTTTATTTGTTTTAGAGCTGAAGTAGAGCATTTGACCCACTTTAGAGACTCTGCTTTAGCTCTCTGAACTTTGACCCCGTTTTATGGTCTGTCATGTTTGTTTTACTTGGCACAGCTATATTAGACGTGAAGAGGTAAATGACCGCATCATGGATACCATCAGATTTGATCTTTAGTGGTGCCCAGGAGTCTCAAAGTGTCTCTCATTTCTCTATTCTCTTGGTCCAGCTAGCTAGACATGCTTCCTTTTTTTTTAAATGACAGTGGATGAACAGTTTTCCTGTAATGATACTTTATCTGCCACTAGCACAATAAGCAGCTCGTACACAAGTGTGATTGACAGCATTAAGACACTCCTCCTGGAGATGTTAACAAACTTAACCTGTCATTCACAGTTTGTCATTCACAATGACAGGTTAACGGTTAACCAGGTTAAGTCTTGACCCAAGAAACTGGCTCAGCTGCTATGTGTAAACACCATCTATAGTGTAATGTTTCTCTCAACCAAGTGTTAATATCTGATTCTATTTAAAACAGCTTTCTATGCACTACCGTCAGTAGTAGTTTGACTCCAGTAAATGGTATCTGCCAGCAGGAAACCACTCCCAACATTTTAGGTGGATGGATTATAATCTGACCCAAATAGGGGTCAGAACCAAAATAAAATGAAATGCTGTGAAGAAGTATTTGCTTTGGGACTGGCGTCTACCCCCAAACATGGTGTTGGCAGTGTGGTTATAACCTGGATGACTTAGAAAGACTGATGGAACCATAAATCCTGCTTTCTGTCAGACAATCTGGAAGTATAATGTCCAGCTGTCAATTCATAACCTTAGATTTAGCACAGTTGTGTTATGCAGTTGGACACTGATCCAATGCACGCGAGTGAACCCGCCTTTGAATGGGTAGAAAGCAAAAGAAAACAAGTTGCAGATGGTTTACAGAAAATCTGGACTTAAATTTGACTGAAGTGATGGAGTGTGAGCACTCTTGTGCAAAAGTCCTTCAACATGGCGGAATTAAAACGATCATGCAGAACATTTTGGCACTCCAGTTAAAATTGTAGCACAAAGGTTTACAGGGCTGAGGCTTCACATAAATTCAGGTTGATTTGAATAACAGTTTTTCCTCAATACAGGAAATAATCTTTTGAAAACTGTTTTGCTTTTATTCAGATAATCTTTGTCTTGTTTGTTGACAAAAAAAAGCAGGAACATAATTTGTAAAGGAGCAAACTGTGTTGTTGCAGAACACAGCAACAACAAATTAAAAGCAAATCCCCCATAATTTGCGAAAAATAATTACAAGGTGGTTTTGCAAGTAGGAAATGGAAGTAGGTATTCTATTGTGACACTCATTTTCTGCAATTAGTTACTCAAAATTATATCTCAATTTAAATTTAGGAGAAATATCAGTAGCTTACAGAAAAAAAAACTAAAAATGTTCACGACTCGCATGCAAATACTAGCAAAATCAGTTAGCTATAATTGCTACGTCTTGAATGATGGAGTTTGTCCTGTCCTGACATGTTTTATTTAGGTCTGGTTTCTTAGAAGCAAAATATGAGTGCAGTAAAATATTTTCTAACAATACTATGCATTGAAACGCATGGAAAGAGGGTCAAATTTATTTTATTTAAATGTCTAAACAGAGTCAGTGCATTTTGTGAACATATGAAAAACAGATGAGCTAACAGCAGTTGATACATGCATTTAAAAAAAAAAGAGCACAGGTTGCTGTAAATATAGAAAAATAAGCTTTATACAGGCAAATAAAATGATGCAGGGTATGTAAAAAAATAGACCCTCAGCTGGCTGGGAGGCAGTGTTAGTGGCTTCAAGGTGGGGCTGCTGTAGCTCAGCCACAGAAATACGCAGTTAAACAGAAGCATCTTTGGTTCAGCTGTACTTTGTGGTCTTTGATGGTTAACAATGTGTCATAATAACTGAGGTAATAAGTTAAAAAGTAAAGCACCAAGTCAAATTTAACACACAAAATTACAGATAACAAACATACAGTTGTTCCATGATGCAGTTGTTCTTATTTTATGGCTTTCCTTGCTGTATCTACAGTGCACATTAAAGCTCAAAGAATTGCACAGTCATTGCACATCTGAGCTCTGCGGCTTGCGAGAAAGTTACTCGTTGGCGTCGAGTCAGGTAAGAACTTCAGGTCCGTCTGTCGGCGCTGAGGCAGAGTTCCTCACAGGTTCTTCATGCAGACCTGACAGCGGCTGATGCGTGAGAGGAGCTGGCCCGCCTTTAGCGTCTCCGATGACGGCTGAGTATGGAACGACTGGTCTATGGATGTCAGCCAGAAGCTGTGCTTGTTAGCAAAGTAGTGGCATGTGCCCTTGGCTCCGTTACACTCAATGAAAGGTGTTGTGCGGAAGTCCTCCAGGCAGGAGCCGGGCGATGACAGGGACTGACCGCCGCCTTCGTTTCCCGCTGCCGTATGCTGCGGGAAAGAAAGGTGAGAGTGCCTTCCAGTGAGACAGAGGTGGAAATAAAAGGTAATCTAGTGTTGCAACATGGGGTGTCATTTTGTAATCCACAAAAACTACCACTGCACATAATCCTGAACATGTTATTTCTACTTGAATACTTTTCTTCAGCAGTTACAGCGACGCTTGTTTACGTTTTTAAATAATGGATGGAGCTAAATACGAGACAATCCTGGAAGAAAATCTATTAGAGGTTGCAAAAGACTTGAGGCTGCTGCAGAGGTTCACCCGTCAGATGCACAGCAATGCTAAACATACAGCCTGAGTCAACGTTCTGGTGTAAATCCTAAGGAGAGTCTTGTAAGCACTTGTAAACTGATGTTGATGACTCTGTCCGTTCACTCTGAGGTCGCGGAACTTTGCAAAAATATCAGCTTCTACATGAAAATAATGTCTTTCACCAAGCAAAGATAGCATCACAGTTTTGTGTGATGCTATCTCACATGAAGCTGTTGCAAAAGACACCAAAGAAGATGTGAAGATGATTTTGCAACACAATGTAAATGAACTGAAGTCAGGAGCTTTTATTTTTCCACCCAAAACAGGAACTTACCATAAGGAAGGAGTAGCCAATCCACAGGCTCCTCCAGCCCACGGGACACTGTGGGATGGTGATGTCCTGACTGTGAACTGCAATAGCAACTGATGGAGCCTCGCAAACTGAGCAACGGCTGATGTATGGCTGGATTCCTTTTTCTTCCACAGGCATCATGGGGAGGGGAGCAGTGGTTGACAGCCAGTAGGACTTATCGTTTCTGCTGGCGTAGTAGCAAATGTCCCCAGGGTTGCAGTACAGAAAGGGCATGGTGCTGAACCGTGGGAGACAGGAACCAGCCAAACCTGTTGGGAACAAACATCGGAAAAGTGAGTTTAAAGAGTAAATGGCTTAAAGTTTTTTGTTTTTTTTCCCTGCCATGTTTCCTGCTTCACCTCTCAAGTATTTTGAGTTTTCAAAGAAGCAAGATCCGGTGGAAAATTAAGTAGAATAGAATTTGCGAGAATTTTCTCAGAGGTTCTTCGATTTTTATCGGTTTTTTTGGCAAACCTTGAAATGCAAAATTAATTCTGCCTCTTTGAAAACCCAATTTCCCTTAGGAACAAAATTAAATGACTTAATTAAAAATCCTCAAAGCAACTGAATCCGACTGGGAAGATCAGAGGACAAGTGCTGGGAAGGATTCAGTCCCGGCAAAGGACACAAATAACAGATAAAGCAGGTTTCTGAGACTTTGTAGGTTTCATCTTCTGCTTTTACAAGACCTTTTATGACAAGATAGTACGATTAATGTTAGCAAAACCAGCAACATCATTTAATGCTAAGAGAAGAGTCAACTTATTCACACTGGCTCACCAAGGTCCTGGTTGTGGGCCTTCTCTTGGCCCTCCAGGTACAGCAGACTGTAACCGTCCCACAGTTTAGACATTCCCACCGGACACATTGGCGTCTGGTCTGACTGACTGTGTTTCACCAGCAGGTAGCCCACGCTGATACTGCGGCCCGCCATGCCAGGTAATCCTGGGCCGCCGGGCCTGCCTCTTTGTCCTTTTGGGGAATCATGGATTCAGTTAGCCATCTGTTGTTGTCATTGGGTTCGATTTATATCTATTTTACTAAGACAAGTTTTCAACAAAGACAATATTTGAACCTTCAAAATTGCTTGTTTTATTTTTTTGTCTTAACCCCCATTTACTTTAAATCTTTTAATCCAGGATTATAACCCTAATCCCAAACTGCCCCGCAGTGTGAGAGACGTACCTTCCATGCCTTGAAGACCAGGGTGCCCCACATTGCCCACCTCGCCACGGTAACCTGGCACTCCTGGAGTACCACCAATCCCAGGCATGCCTTTAAGTCCAACAGGTCCCATGAACCCTGTTCAGAAACAGAATAAATCTGTCGCAGTGCTTTTCTTGTACTTCGTGTACATTACCAATGAAATACTTTTATACTCTTTTGGTAAAAATGGGTTGGTATGAAAAATTGTAAACTAACCTGGGTCTCCAGGTGGGCCTCGAGGTCCTGGCCCCCCTGAAATCCCTTTCGGGCCTGGGATACCCCGCGGTCCTGGAAGGCCTCTTTCTCCTGGGATTATAATGGAAGGTGGAAGACCGCCCTGGCTGCCACGCGCTCCAGGAAAACCTGTGGGGTTGATTGCTTGTTCAGTGTCTCAGGGTGAAGTAGCTGCACTTCACATATTTTTGTGATTTTTACAAAGTCCAGTTCGACCAGTTTGACATTTTGTGGCTTTCATTATTGTGTTAAGCCAAGCATTTTAATTTTTAAACTACAGATGGTAAAAAGCAGTTCTGTATCCCTCAGAAA